TACGGGTGTAGCACGTACACACTCCAGGTACGGGTGTAGCACGTACACACACTCCAGGTACGGGTGTAGCACGTACACATACACTCCAGGTACGGGTGTAGCACGTACACGTACACTCCAGGTACGGGTGTAGCACGTACACATACACTCCAGGTACGGGTGTAGCACGTACACACTCCAGGTACGGGTGTAGCACGTACACACTCCAGGTACGGGTGTAGCACGTACACATACACTCTAGATACGGGTGTAGTACGTACACACACTCCAGGTACGGGTGTAGCACGTACACACTCCAGGTACGGGTGTAGCACGTACACACTCCAGGTACGGGTGTAGCACGTACACACACTCCAGGTACGGGTGTAGCACGTACACATACTCTAGGTACGGGTGTAGTACGTACACACACTCCGGGTACGGGTGTAGCACGTACACATACACTCTAGGTACGGGTGTAGCACGTACACACACTCCAGGTACGGGTGTAGCACGAACACATACACTCCAGGTACGGGTGTAGCACGTACACACTCCAGGTACGGGTGTAGCACGAACACATACACTCCAGGTACGGGTGTAGCACGTACACACACTCCAGGTACGGGTGTAGCACGTACACACACACTCTAGGTACGGGTGTAGCACGTACACACACTCCAGGTACGGGTGTAGCACGTACACACACTCCAGGTACGGGTGTAGCACGTACACACACACGTACACACGAGGCTGGGCCTTTCTTATCTCAATAAACATACTTGAACTTGAAGGGTATTAGACCTGGGCTTGTTTACTTAGGTCTAGGACAGGTCTAGGTTTATTTGGGTTGTACAGGTCCTGTTCCACATTTTGGCATGGCTTTTGGGGCACAAGAGTCCGTTTCTGCACTTTAGACGAGCAAGTCAAACCTGGCCTCGGGCCGGGCTTGGGGAGTAGAACCCCGTCAAGCAGGTATTAGTATTATGTCTATAAAACATGGGCTTCTGCAGTGCGTTCTGTTGACGATTGGACTGAGCCGTCAATAATACTCTTGAGACAGGATTGTCACTACGTTAGTGGTGGGTATGTACGATACCTGGATGGTGGGGTATAGATAAATTGAAGTATCAGTGATAGGTAGATACCATGTATATTAGTAAGTTTAATATACAAATTTGCACTCATTTATCATATAAAGAGCGAGCTAATGGGTGTGTGTAACTACAGCTGGTGTAATGAGGAACGAAGTAGTTTGTCTTTGAGCACTGCTCGAGATGTCCAGCTTGGAGCCCAAGTATCACCCTCATGGCTTGGGTGCCCGGAAATGGTGGGGGGGGGGGGGTATTGGTTGGTGAGGGCAGTGGGTGCTACCCACGATGGCTACCTTTGATGGGTGGAGTGTTTTTATTGTAGGTACGGCAGCTGTGGCCGACCTTGTAGTGTGGCTCATAACACGGTGACACTCACCTGAAGGAGACATAGGTGAAGGCAAGTTTAGAAGTGGGAAATACAGTGAGAGGTAGGAAAGCAGGCTTTGCTGTGCGGAAGAGTGGTGGGAGACAGTGAGGGTGGTAGTGAGGACCGAGGGGGGGGGGGTAGTAATGGGGTTAGGATAACGGGGTAGGGATGAACACACGGGTCATGGAGGGATGTGGGAGGCAGGTCAACGAAGGACACCCACCCCGGCCACTCCCCTTACTCCTCCATCCTCATCCCCGCTCCTCTCTCTCTTTCTCTCATTCGTTCGTTCGTGTGTTCGTGTTGCAAGTTCTTTTTGTATTTATATTGGTGTAATATTACACGTGTGTGTTGTTCCTTCTGACCTCAGTCTTATCTTCAGTTATCTTCAGATGATTTCGGGGCTTTTTTTTTTAGTGTCCCCGCGGCCCGGTCCTCGACCAGGCCTCCACCCCCAGGAAGCAGCCCGTGACAGCTGACTAACACCCAGGTACCTATTTTACTGCTAGGTAACAGGGGCATAGGGTGAAAGAAACTCTGCCCATTGTTTCTCGCCGGCGCCAGGGATCGAACCCAGGACCACAGGATCACAAGTCCAGTGTGCTGTCCGCTCGGCCGACCGGCTCCCTTCAGTCTTGTGTGACTGTCGCCACTGTTGTTACTGTGGCGCTCCTCCTGTTGTCTCTCTTGAGAGTAGGTGTACAGCTTCTGTTACTGCTTTTGTTACTGTTGGTGATAGTCACTGTTGTCGTACCGTTACTGCTGTTCTGGCTGCTTGTCCTGTTCCTATTGTTAGAGGGGGGGGGAAGGCTGCCTCGCCTGTAATTGTTGCTGTTGTTGGTGCTGCTCATCTGTTGCTGTTTGACTGTTGTCGTTCTTGTCGATGCGTCATATGAGCAGAATACCTGATCAACCGGGCTGTGGTGCCTACCTTGGCACCTCGCCAATAGGCCTGGTCAGGAGCAGGGCCGCGAGAAAAGTGACTCCCGGAACCGCCAAATGGTGGGTAGGTAGTTAGTTCTTCTTTCTGGTTGATGCTAATTGGTGGTTTGCGGGTGAGAATTAGTGTAGTTGTTCTTGGCGGGTTGTGTGTGACCTTTGACACGGAGCAGCCGGCGCTCTCCAGCGTCTTCCGGGAAAGGTCAGAGTGCTGGGGCTCGCAGGGTCAACATTTACACTCTCAGCAACACTCCCTCCACTTTGTATCCTCCACACACTTATTGCCACCACTCCGCAATGCAAACACTGTAATTGAAGCCTATATTTTTTGTAAATAATATATCTAATAATTTACCGCTCCAAGCAACAGCCTGGTGGACCAAACTCTCACAAGTCAAGCCTGGCTTCGGGCCGGGCTTGGAGTAGAAGAACTCCCAGAACCCCATCAACCAGGTACCAACCAGGTTACACTTGGAAAATATTAGAGGAACTGGTTTAAAACCTGCACACAGAGATAACACCATGAGACCAGAAGGCATGGCAGGATGTGCAGAATACCCCCGTTGAAGAGCAGAGGTGCAACAGGTACTCTAAGAGAGAACTATCAACATCAGAGGCCCGAGACTGTTCAACATGACGGTGGAAATAGCTTACACTATTTCTTTTTTTAGATGATTTCTATCATTTTGAGATGTATTTTATAGTCTCAATAAACGTACTTGAACTGTTCAGCACGCTTCCACTACACGTAAGAGGCCTAACTGGCTAACCCCTCAGCCAGTTAGGCCGATACCTGGTTGATGGAGTTCTAGGAGTTTTTCTACTCCCCAAGCCCGGCCCGAGGCCAGGCTCGACTTGTGAGAGCTTGGTCCACCAGGCTGTTGCTTGGAGCGGCCCGCAGGCCCACATACCCACCACAGCCCGGTTGGTCCGGCACTCCTTAAAGAAAATTATCTAGTTTTCTCTTAAAGATGTCCACGGTTGTTCCGGCAATATTTCTTGTACTCGCTGGGAGGGTGTTGAACAACCGCGGACCTCTGATGTTTATACAGTGTTCTCTGATTGTGCCTATGGCACCTCTGCTCTTCACTGGTTCTATTCTGCATTTTCTTCCATATCGTTCACTCCAGTATGTTGTTATTTTACTGTGTAGATTTGGGACCTGTTCCTCCAGTATTTTCCACGTGTATATTATTTGATCTCTCTCGTGTCCTTTCTAGTGAGTACATTTGGAGAGCTTTGAGACGATCCTAATAATTTAGGTGTTTTATCGCGTCTATGCGTGCCGTATATGTTCTCTGTATTCCCTCTATTTCAGCAATCTCTCCTGCTCTGAAGGGGGAAGTGAGTACTGATCATCACCCAAGACGGGACAGTACAAGTGATTTGAAGAGTACAACCATTGTGATGGGATCCCTGAATTTGAAATTTCTCGTAATCCATCCGATCATTTTTCTGGCTGACGCAATACTTGCTTGGTTATGCTCCTTAAACCTTAGGTCGTCAGACATCATTATTCCCAAATCCTTTACATGCTGTTTTCCTACTATGGGCACATTTGATTGTGTTTTGTACCCTGTATTATGTTTAAGGTCCTAATTTTTGCCGTATTTGAGTACCTAGAATTTATCAATGTTAAAATCATGTTATTTTCTGCTCCCCAATGGAAAACTTTAATAATATATGCTTGTAGGTTTTCAGGGTCTTCAGCAGAGATAATTTTCATGGTGATTTTTGTATCGTCTGCAAAAGATATGAAGCTGTGACTTGTATTTTTGTTTATATCTGATATGAGAATAAGGAAAAGCAGTGGTGCAAGGACTGTACCCTGAGGTACAGGGCTTTTAACCTCCCACTATCGTCATGATGGTGGGGAGGTGCGTGTATGGGAGATAGTGGGGAGGTGCGTGTATGGGAGATAGTGGGGAGGTGCGTGTATGGGAGATAGTGGGGAGGTGCGTGTATGGGAGATAGTGGGGAGATGCGTGTATGGGAGATAGTGGGGAGGTGCGTATATGAGAGAGAGTAGGGAAGTGGGTGGGTGTATGAGGAGTGAAGTGGTACAATCATTGCCCCACTCCCCCAACAACTGCCTGTCCTCAGCATCCGTGTTGCTCCATCTGTCTCAATCACAGCATCCTATACGCACCTCCTGGCTCATGCTGACGTCCCGCTCTTGCTGCTGAGGCTATTGTTGTTGTTGCTGCTACTGTTGTTGCTGCTGTTGTTGCTGCTGTTGTTGTTGATGCTGCTGTTGTTGATGTTGGTGCTACTGATGCTGTTGATGGTGTCCCTGCTGATGGTGTGACTCTCAAGGTGTTGTGGTAACTAGGGGGTCGACCCATTGACCAGGAAGGTCGTACGTCAAACAAAATGTGTTTCAAATCAAAACAAAACAAACCGCATTAAATTTGGTGTTGTTATCTTGAGATGATTTACGGGCTTAGCGTCTGCACCAAGTGCCTTTGATGCCCAACTCCTCTCATATTGGGGGCATTGTTGTCAACACTTGGGGCGTTTATTGTCCCAAGTCAAGCATGTTATTGTGTACTTTATGATGTGTTAATAATGTGGTGGTGTTGTAGTTGTGTGATAATGGTGCATTGTTGTGTGTGTTGCAGGTGTCGAACTTGAGGAAGGTGTTGCAGGGCATCGTGGACTACTACCAGGAGCAACTCAACCAGAACATCAAGCACTTCCCTCTCCCCGACCTCAACAAGATAGGTCAGTCCTCCCTCTTATACCGTTTTCTTTCCCTCCTTCTCTTTGGTCTCCTCCTCTCTTCACCTTATTTTTTTGAAGTTTTGATGGCCATTTGTAAGGAGTTTTGAAGTGTTGTATTTGTCACGTGACGTCAAGACGTGCTCCTTAGCTTAACGTTGTCCCACTGAGGCCAACGACAGACCTTCCTCAGGATAGATAACAACATAAGAACAAAGTTAACTGGCAGAAGGCCTATTGGCCCATACGAGGCAGCTCCTATCTATAACTACCCAATCCCACTCACAACCCACAACAGTGATCCAAGTTCCATCTGACCTGTAGAGGGTTTCCGGAACCCTCTATAGGTAAGGCCCCAGCAGTATGGCGGAGGGAGAGGGAGGCGCTGCCAGGGAGAGAGACAGCCAGAGAGAGACAGCCAGAGAGAGACAGCCAGAGAGAGAGACAGCCAGAGAGAGACAGCCAGAGAGAGACAGCCAGAGAGAGAGACAGCCAGAGAGAGAGACAGCCAGAGAGAGAGACAGCCAGAGAGAGAGACAGCCAGAGAGAGAGACAGCCAGAGAGACAGCCAGAGAGAGAGACAGCCAGAGAGAGAGACAGCCGGAGAGAGAGACAGCCGGAGAGAGAGACAGCCGGAGAGAGAGACAGCCGGAGAGAGAGACAGCCGGAGAGAGAGACAGCCGGAGAGAGAGACAGCCGGAGAGAGAGACAGCCGGAGAGAGAGAGACAGCCGGAGAGAGAGACAGCCGGAGAGAGAGACAGCCAGAGAGAGAGACAGCCAGAGAGAGAGACAGCCAGAGAGAGAGACAGCCAGAGAGAGAGACAGCCAGAGAGAGAGACAGCCAGAGAGAGAGACAGCCAGAGAGAGAGACAGCCAGAGAGACAGCCAGAGAGAGAGACAGCCAGAGAGAGAGACAGCCAGAGAGAGAGACAGCCAGAGAGAGAGACAGCCAGAGAGAGAGACAGCCAGAGAGACAGCCAGAGAGAGAGACAGCCAGAGAGAGAGACAGCCAGAGAGAGAGACAGCCAGAGAGAGACAGCCAGAGAGAGAGACAGCCAGAGAGAGAGACAGCCAGAGAGAGAGACAGCCAGAGAGAGAGACAGCCAGAGAGAGAGACAGCCAGAGAGAGACAGAGACTGACAGACACACACATATACATACATACATACATACATACATACATACATACATACATACATACAGACATACATACATACATTACAGAAGATGGTGATGCCTGTTGGGGGCGGCGTGGACCCTGGGACAGGTAGGTGGTGACTCCACACCGTGGCTGCTGCTGCTCTTATTAACGGGGATTTGATTATACTAAAGGGGTAAAGAAAGCTACAAGTGATGTGTGGTTACACGGTGGAGCGGGGGGTTAATGTTGATGTTATCTGGTTACTCCAGGGAATGACAGGCAAGATATCATCCCACACGAGATCTGAAAAACTATAATGACGTTATTTTGTTTCGGCGCGAGGCAGAAGTGGGTAATATTCCCCCCCCCTCCCTCTATCCCCCCAACCATCACCCCCCTACTCTATCCCCCCAACCATCACCCCCACTCCCCCCTTTTCTCTTCCAACGTTATAATTCTGTAGGGTAATTGGAATAATGGCGGGGGGGGGGTCATTCTCCCTCATGGGGTTTGAAACCCTGGTTTGTGTGCCTCGGAGAGGCTGCAGGATCCAGTAAGTTCAGTAGAACTTCGGTTGCAACTCCTTTTGACCATGTCGTAGCTCAGGCGATTAAGGCAGCGTCTGGGATGCTCTCGGACGCAGGTTCGAATCTTCGTCACGGCCCTTGTGGATTTGTTCATTCCCAGTTTGGTAGGAATATGTGGAGGTATTAACGCCCCTCATCCCCCCCCCCCCATCTTGCTCAATCTCCCACCTACACGCTCAGCAACATTTACTACAAAAGCGAACTTAATAATGCTAATACAAACAAAATTACAGAATATTGTAAACTTTATATACGTGTCAAACTAAAATCAAAACCTAATATTATGTAGTATAATAAGGAAGCATAATCTGCACTACAGTAGATGGTACAAGTCTAACACGAACTTTTCAATGTTGTTATTGGTACAGCATAAGCGGGGGGATAGGTGTTGCCCCGCGTTGTTGTTGTCGTTGTTGTTATAGATTCACCTACTCGGAACAAGTTCCATAGCACGGGCTATGATGAGCCCGTAGTGGACTTACCTGGCACAGGAGCGGGGCTCGATAACAAGAACTTGCTTGGTCAATATAGGGAGGGAGGGAGCCGTGTTTGCCCCCGCCCCTCCAGTATTATTTAACATCTCCTGACATTTGCGTAATAAAGACGAAACAATGGTAAGTAACATTATGCTGTATAGGACATTGATGGGAAAATAACACATACTGTGATTGTTACTGAACATTGTGGTAAGTAGTTAAAGGTCTCTCGCCACTTTGTGCACGACAACAGTGCCACAAAACCTTGCCACGATCATCAAATATCATAACTCATAAAAGGAACGGATGAAGGCCACACGACTAACAACAATGTAAACCAGATATGACAGGGCGGATCTCATTGAAACTTTTAAAATACTGAACAAGTTAGAGGATGTTGGACTATTTCTTCCAAAGGTCAGGTGTAACATACACGAGGAGCAACGGTTTCAAGCTCAACAAGCCGCAATGTAGGACTGGGAACACAAGCTTTTTCACCCCCAGCGTTATAAACCCATGGAACGGCCTACCCACCCAAGCCGTAAATGCCAAAACTATGTTGAGTTTTAAAATCTACATGGAAAAGATCATAAAGGCAAATAGGGGGGCCCTTTGACAAGCCACTGACTTCCTGTCCTCTTCGAGGCCACTAGGGGTTAGTGGCCCCTCAGGAAAATCAAGTAAATATCATATGAACGTGAAGAAAACACTCAATGTATATGTAAGTGTATTAAAAAACAAATTTTCGGACGTTACCTTGTATAGAAAGTATCCCTGGCCAGAACAGTGTATATAGTACCCTGAGAAAGGATGTAGGTGTCATATCTGGAGAACACATACAGGGGCGCCACTATTGCATTACTTACTGCAATGTGAAGCCCTGAGCATGAAACTTAACATTAATCCAACGACAGCAGCTCCATTAGATGGAAAATCCACAGCGACTACAGTGATTAGAAAAGCAGGTGAAGAAAGGGACACACTAGTAAACACTGTGGTTGTACATCCATCACCAAGCTAATGTTATTAAAACAAGACTAAAACTAGTGCGCTTAAATAGGTTTCCTCCTATTTAAGTGCACTATTTCCTCCTCCTAGGTGGGGTTTCCTCCTTTTCCTTAAAGGAGGAAACCTCACCTCCATTTAAAAGTTTGACCCAAATATCACAGTAACAAGGTTATCGTGAATAACCGAACTCAGTTACGTGTTCACTATAGCCCGTGAAACATGAACATTTCGTTTTGAGTAGCTAAATCTTAAACAGCAGCAGCAGTAGTACAGGTTACTTGTGTATGGGTGTGTGTTTATATATATATGTGTGTGTGTATATATATATATATATATATATATATATATATATATAATATATATATATATATATATATATATATATATATATAAATATATATATATATATATATATGTCGTACCTAGTAGCCAGAACGCACTTCTCAGCCTACTATGCAAGGCCCGATTTGCCTAATAAGCCAAGTTTTCATGAAATAATTGTTTTTCGACAACCTAACCTACCTAACCAAACCTAACCTAACTTTTTCGGCTACCTTACCTAACCTAACCTATAAAGATAGGTTAGGTTAGGTTAGGTAGGGTTGGTTAGGTTCGGTCATATATCTACGTTAATTTTAACTCCAATAAAAAAAATTGACCTTATACATAATGAAATGGGTAGCTTTATCATTTCATAAGAAAAAAAATTGAGAAAATATATTAATTCAGGAAAACTTGGCTTATTAGGCAAATTGGGCCTTGAATAGTAGGCCGAGAAGTGCGTTCTGGCTACTAGGTACGACATATATATATATATATATATATATATATATATATATATATATATATATATATATATAATACACACACTACAAGAGATCTAAGAATCTTGTAGACACAATCGACATGATAAAGGTGCAAGACGGAGCGAAACATCTTCGTCTCATCATCTTAAGTTGTGGGATATAGTCTTTATATCTTGAGCCACGTTATTGTGACCCATCGTCTACAGTCTTGTACAGCCACTAGCGCACACAACGTCTCGGGCAGGTCCTTAATCTTAATTTTCCCCGGAATACGACCCGCCAAGTCGTTTACCAACCAGGTACCCATTCACTGCTGGGTGAACAGAGGCGTACAGTTAAGGATTGGCGCCTAGTCGATCCTCTCCGGAGAGGCTACGAACCCAGGTCAAATCGCTCATGAGGCGTGGGGCGAGTGTGTTACCACTGCGCCACGGGTGATTGCTTAATGATTCAACCACTATGGCATTGTAGTAAGACTTAAGCCACAATCGAAACTAATTGTCTTTAAATACTTAATCGTCTCTCACTTAATATGACGTCACAGGTAATTAAACACAAGTAGGAAAAGGATATGAAATATAATGAAAGTGGCACCCTCTCCCCCCCCCTCAATCCTGCCTAGACTTGACGTCATATGATGACAAGGAATATGACGTCATATGGTAATCAGGGAATATGACGTCATATGGTAATCAGGGAATGACGTTATATGATAATCAGAGAAGGACCTGACGTCATAAGATAACACCACTAAGCTAAGCATTGTTTTAGATACAGCCAACAAATTGGATATACCAACTGAATATGTACAGGTAATATTAACCAAGTGCACCCGTAGATAACAACAAGAACTAACTGTACACACACCAATAACAACAAAGCATACTTAGAGGCTACTGGTGTTGGTGGCTAACAACTGGGTAGTTAGTCTCCCACCATAGACACCCGACTCCCCATAAACAACATGGACGCAAGCAACCGAAA